GCAAGCTGAAATGACACTCAGTTGTGGTCCTCGTGCGTGCGCCCCCGATTCTGCACTCCCATGCCAATTAACGTTATGTTGCACTGCCACCAGCAGGCCAAAATATGTAACAACATCAAAAAGCAAAGCTGGTTTAAAGTAGAGTGGAGTGAAATACGATTTCAAAAATCACATACAGACATGTCATGGATAGGAACAACCTGGTTTTCTCTTTTTTCCAGTGTGCAGGCTGTGTACTGCTCAGTGAGGAATCGAGTGTGGGTATTCACGTTCAGGTTGTCGTGTGCAGCATGTTTAATGGCTGTGTAGGTAGGCAGCAGGATTTGCATGCTTGAGTGTGCATGAGTGCTGCGTTATCACGCCCTTGGAAAGAGATGCATTTATGTCTTTGAAAAATCTGGCAAGGATTCATGATACTTGTTGGGTATGAATGTTTAAATGTTGGCCAGACTTGCGGCTGCTTTGGAGGAACTTTTATAAGAACATTATGAGAAGCAGCTATCAATGCACTTGCAAACACACATGCACTGTGTAGTGTTAATGCACAGAATGCATTTAGAAATATTTTCATTTAGAAATGTTTTTTTTTTGTCCGGTGCCAGATATTTTTTGCACAGTTGATCAGTGCTTTTATCACGTCACATGCTCTGTTCCATATTTGCATGTACAAGATTGAAATCTTGGCACAGTAAACACATGTTTTTTGCTTACTGGCTCAATCCAAGCTGGTCTTTTCAACATAGGGCTCATATGACATTGTGCTATAAAGTGTGTAGTATAATGTATACTCCAAGTATAATGGAATACATTGAATTCTTCATTTTATTGCAGGTTATTCAGGAGGACCATGCGGGTCAGTCAGGCCTTAAAGGAGAGAAGGGAAACCGGGTAAGAAATGTCAAACACTGAATCATACCAAATAAGTATGTTTGTGTGCTAAATCCCGCTCTCTGTCCAGGCTTGCTGGGAATAAATGAGTGCAGCACTGTTTATTTTGGCATCTTATACAAATGCCTCATTAGGAGCTAGCTTCTGTGCCAGTGATCGAGCTTGGCCGACTACTCAAAAGTTTCATTTTTACTGGCATAATCTTTTAATACATTAATAACATAAATGAAAAATCCTACATCAAGACTGATTCTTCAGGATGGGGGGAGGGAGGCTGATACATACTATTTTAAAGCAAGACTGTTGCTTATATACAGTTTGTCAGGGATGTTGATACACATGCATATGGGGTATTGTTCCTTAAATTGTTTAAAAAAAACTGTTTTACCTCTCAGGGTTTGGACTGTACTGGTGCTGGAGTTCCTGGACGAGTGAGTCAATATGGTTTTCGCCTGGAAAATTACTTTTCTGGCACAAACTGATCATTTGAAGTTATGAATTAACTGTCCTTTTCAAAATAAACATATATATATATATATATATATAT